ATCTGGTGTCTCTGCGATTGCTGATCGGCCATTATTCATAAAACAAATGATGTGTAATGTGTTTACATTGTAACACTGGCTGAGGAAGACTCAGATCTCCCCCCAGGGGAAGGCTCAGATCTCCCCCCAGGGGAAAGCTCAGATCTCCCCCCAGAGGAAGGCTCAGATCTCCCCCCAGGGGAAGGCTCAGATATCCCCCCAGGGGAAGGCTCAGATCTCCCTCCCAGGGGAAGGCTCAGATCTCCCCCCAGGGGAAGGCTCAGATCTCCCCCGAGGGGAAGGCTCAGATCACCCCCGAGGGGAAGGCTCAGATCTCCCCCCAGAGGAAAGCTCAGATCTCCCCCCAGAGGAAGGCTCAGATCTCCCCCCAGAGGAAGGCTGAGATCTCCACCCGGAGGAAAGCTGAGATCTCCCCCCCCAGGGGAAGGCTTAGATCTCCCCCCAGGGGAAGGCTCAGATCTAACCCCAGGGGAAGGCTCAGATCTCCCCCCAGAGGAAGGCTCAGATCTCCCCCCAGAGAAAGGCTCAGATCTAACCCCAGGGGAAGGCTCAGATCTCCCCCCAGGGGAAGGCTCAGATCTCCCCCAGGGGAAGGCTCAGATCTCCCCCCGGAGGAAGGCTCAGATCTCCCCCCGGAGGAAGGCTCAGATCTCCCCCCGGAGGAAGGCTCAGATCTCCCCCCAGTGGAAGGCTCAGATCTCCCTCAGCGGAACGCTAGCAAACAGAAATAAGAACATACGAACAATTGATATTATTTTGGGCAATGAATTGCTCCATGAGACACATGGGACCGGCTGTGGGCGGGAGGCGATGTACAGTCCAATGACAGCTGTCAAGCTGCTGACAACCAACAAGAACAATGGGGAATTGCTTCCTTATTCCTTCTCTTTGTATCCTTACAGGAATTCTGTGCGTTTAGTGATCCGCAAGGTGCAGTATGCTCCGGAGAGGCCGGGACCACAGCCCATGGCTGAAACCACCAGACAGTTCCTGATGTCTGATAAACCCTTACACCTGGAGGCGTCTTTGGATAAAGAGGTAA